CTGTTCTTAAGTCATAAACACCTTTCTCCCGCTGATCCAGCTATCAGGGATGTTTTCTCTGTGAACAGTCTTAGCTGGAAGTGTCATTGTACCTTTTATGGATAAGATGGTGCTTTCTTAGGGAGCTTAGGAATTTCTTGTGAGAGCTAGATGCTTATTTCTCAGAATGCAGTTTGCTCTCACCCCGATTTTCAAAAACCCTCTCGTTATATATCTTGGATAACATATCAATTTTCTTACAATAATATTGGTCCGAAGTTGTAAAAACCATCAATTGGCTTTCAATGGCTAAGTGCTTGGTTTAAGTTAATTGGCTGATTCCAGCGCATTGCCAAAATATCAAAACACACCTAAGGTTTCCAATCATACAGCCATTTGATACGTTTCCATTTTAGAACTGGCTGTAAATCTTCAGCTACATACAGACACCTTTTTTCTGTATAAATCTTTAATCTTAGAAAAACACTTTAACTCTGAAAGGAACCATGCACTGTTCTCCTTTGTCATTTTTTACAAACAAATTCTAACTTCCTGCCTTCCAATTCACGATTACCCTACACAACTTCATAACAATAAGGAAGAAAATAAACATAGTTTAGGTTCATTCTATAGGAAAGGTAAAACAGAGGTAGTAAACTAAACTATACAATGAGATAATTAAGGCAAGCACATTGATTTCTACTTTTGCATTGTACATGTGTTTAAAATCACTGTTATTTACAGTGAAGTGCGGGTTGTCTTTATTTAATTCAGAGAACAAGAACAAGAAGTAAGAAGGCAAATAATATGTTCCGAAATAAATAGCGGTAAAATTATTTTGCTGGTACAACATGTTTGAAATCTCAGTGTACAGACCCGGGTTCAAGTCCCACCTACTCCAGAGGTGTGTAATAATATCTCTGGACAGGTTGAAAACAAAATAACTATAAATTTTGACAAATTAATCTTTCTTTTCATTTTGGTCAAGCTGAGAATCAGTGAAGGGAAAGAGAAGAAAATATGCAAAATAGGCTGGCAAATAGAAACCAGTATCATTAAAATTGTTTACAGTTTTTTCCAAAAAAAAGTTCTATGGATTTGTGCATGTGGACTTTTGCTACTACTGCGGGTAGCCTGGCCTCTGTTTTGTGATTCGTCTGTATACACTTTGTGTCTACTTTGTTCATGTCAAAAGACCATAGGCATTAGAAACCTGACTTCTTCATTAAAAGGAGCTGTAACTTGCCAAGAGATTATGAGATAAAACTTTCTGAAAAGGTGCATTTGCACTTGTAGATGGAATCTCATTTTCTTTAAGTTTTCTACTTTGTAGTATTTTGTACGTCTTACATATTGTTTGGGCCAATATCTCAGATGGTTCACAATGGATTTATTCTGGAATGACTGGAGAAAGATGAAAACTCTTCAAGTTGTTAATAAAATGATCCACTGAAGCAGAAATGTGTGTTGGTAGAATACAGCACAATTAGTAACTTGCATTATGCAATGTTTTGTCAGTTGGAAAATGAAGTCTAAATCTATCAGTCCTTCCTGGACAACAGTCTCTAATAGAACATGTTGCTCGTGGTGACCTTTCCACCTTCCCTATATCTCGCGCAATAACAATAAATAGGAACTAGGAGATTTTCTTCTTTGAAATTTATGCAACTTCTTTGAAGATTGTATCACTGAACCAATATGCTCACACTGGGCATCGAAGCAGCACTGGTGTCTCACCACAATCCTATATGTTTGTTTTAATGTTTCAAACCAAAATGTGTATGTAGCTGAACAGATGAAATGAAAATGATTGTGGTCAACCACATTCAGATAAAAGCACAAAAGATGTGTACTTCAGTTTTCAAAATGTGCCTAATAAGGAGTGTAATCTTACAAATATTTAGGTCTATACTGTAAAACACGATGAAGCAAAGTGGATAGGAAATTTGTTGATTGACAGAAAGCAGAGAATCAGTATAAACTGATATACTTAAATTGGCGATGTGCATGCTGGATAAATCCCTGGAACAACTTCGTTCTTCATATTTATTAATCATTTGACTAAGGATCTAGATACTGATATTTGCTGATGACACAGCAAAAGAGACGGTTTTGGTAAAAAAAAAATGAGGTTAATTAAAGACTCCAGGCTAACTGAGCAGACAGACAGACAGATGGAAAATGTAAGTGAATTCAGAAAAGTGAGAGATGATACATTTGAAAAGGGAAAACAAGGAATTGGACTCTATGCGGAAGGAGCTGGTGAACAGAAAAGGGTACAAAAACATAATTTGAAAGCAAAAGTAGATAACAATGCCAGCTCAGTTGGTAACCCTCTTGCTTCTGAGACACAATGTTCTGGGGTCAGGTCAAGATGGATGGATGGATATAAAAGATTCCATGATATTACTTTGAAGAGCAGGAGACTTATCCTCAGTGTTTGGGCCAATATTTATCCCCTATCATGAGAACAGATTAGCTGTTCATTATTACATTGCCCTTTGTGGTTTTTGATTGCCTGCAAACTGGCAGCCCACATTTCCTACATTGTAACAGGAACTGTTATTTCAAAAGTATTTCACTGGCTGTAAAGCATTTGGATGCATCTACTGTTGTGAAAAGTACGATATAAATGCACACTTTGTTTCTATCTCTAGCCATTATGAGGCTCATAGCATGTTGACTTTGATAAATGGCAGCATTGAGTACAAGAGGAAACAGCTCCAAATACATTTCTGGAGTATTTGGCCTCCTGTTATTGAAGAAAAGTCGAGCCATAAAGTGCATACTGCATAGGTTCATTAATTGGTCCCAGAGATGAGAAACTATAGTTATTGGGAGAGACTTGATTTACTGAAACTATTTCCATTGAAGCAGAAAATGCCAGGAGCTGTTTCAATTTTTTTTTAAGATTATGATCAGTTTTGAGAGGGTGAAAGGGAAAGTCTATTTCTCTTGCATGCAAAGTGATAATTATCGATTTTAGATTGCCACGAAGAGACTGTAGCATGGAGTGCATTGCTAAAGAGTAAGTGAGTTAGAGTCCACTGTTTTATTTAAAGTAAAACTAGATCACATTTGATGCAAACACATTCCTATTCAGGATTTATAACATTAAAATAGTTTTGAAAATCCAACATTCTTGTTCAAAGATAGCCCTCAACCCAACTAATTCTTCATTGAAGCTCTCTTCCTCTTAAACAGCAAAACTATTTTCCATTATGGAGCAATGTCAGGAAATCATTTTTGGAGTGTCATTACCCAACACTTGAGGGCCTCACACACACAAGAGCCAATTTTACAAGTTTAGGCTACAGGCAAGGAGGTATGTCCATTGGGAACTACCAGAGAATACAGCTCAAGAATTTTCACCTATTGCACAATTTCATCCTGAAAACAGCAGCTTTGCTCACTGTCAATTGTCATGCTGCTGACCAAAGATTGATGGTGTGTGTTTGAATATGCACATACTGTTTGAATAAACTAGTGACCATTCCCAGTGAAGGTGTTCAGCAATGTGCAGAGGTCATGATCACTATTGCATAGCAGTGGTTCACAAATGCTTTGGTTGTAGAACTCCTTTTCAAATGGATTAATAAATATTAACACCCCATCTAAGGTGCATATAATACACGTTATGTGAAAGTATATGGAAGAGGTATTTGCTTATACAATTAACCGTGAGATGGGTATGCCTGATTCTCATTGTCCATTCTTAGTGTGTGGTTTTCAAATGACACTAGTAAATCAACCTCACTTCTAGGTATGACCTGAGCTTGTATTTTGGTGCATTTTCTTTGATTTTAAGTAGGATGTGAGGGTCCAGGTGCACGTTGTACAGTGTGTCATTCGGTGTGTGAGGATCTGGTTCAGTATTGTACAGTATGTGGGGGTCCGGGTGTGTGCGGTAGAGTGTGCGAGGGTCCGGGTGTGTGCGGTAGAGTGTGCGAGGGTCCGGGTGTGTGTTGTAGAGTGTGCGGGTGTCCTGGTGTGTGTTGTAGAGTGTGCGGGTGTCCTGGTGTGTGCGGTAGAGTGTGCAAGGGTCCGGGTGTGTGCGGTAGTGTGCGAGGGTCCGGGTGTGTGTTGTAGAGTGTGCGGGTGTCCTGGTGTGTGTTGTAGAGTGTGAGAGGGTCCGGGTGTGTGCTGTAGAGTGTGCGGCTGTCCGGGTGTTTGTGGTAGAGTGTGCGAGGGTCCGGGTGTGTGTTGTAGAGTGTGCGGGTGTCCTGGTGTGTGCGGTAGAGTGTGCGAGGGTCCGGGTGTGTGCGGTAGAGTGTGCGAGGGTCCGGGTGTGTGTTGTAGAGTGTGTAGGGTGTGGGTGTGTGTTGTACAGTGTGCGAGGGTCTGGGTGTGTCATACAGTATGTGAGAATCTGGGTCAGTGTTGTGCAGTATGCGAGGGTCCTGTGAGTGTTATAGAGCGTGTGAGTGTCCAGGTCAGTGTTGAGCAGTGTGAGAGTCCAGGCATCTGTTGTATAATGTGCGAGGGTCTGGGCATGTGTTGTAGAGTATGTGAGCGTCCGAATGTGTGTTGTACAGTGTTCTATCATGTGAGTGTCTGTATGTATTTTATAGTGATTGAATGATCATCACTGGAGCTGGATCCAGTCAGTATTACAGTCTCTTGTCATAGTCCGTATCAGGTTCCGATCAGCTATCTGGAAGTTATATCTTTGCCCCTTTGGTATGGTGGGAATTGTTGATACATCAGATTGATTGATTCTTGGGTGCTGCAATTTGTAGACAAGATATAGAATAGAGTGGGAATGTGAGAGTTTGTTTTGCAATGAATATGGTTGTTGCTGTCAGCCAGTTGGAAATCACAGTGCTTAACCAGTGCTCAGTACAAAATGGAGCAGGAGCGGCAAATTCTGCCAGGAATGTGTTGTGTCAGGTGTGGTGCAGCTGTCAGATTCACAGCCTACGTTTCAGGCAGGTCTGCACAGGCTCAGTCTCTTCACAGGAACAGAGTACTGAAGGTCAAGCAAAGCTCCCCAGTGGTTTGTTGAATTTTCTACCATCTGGCCTGGTTCCCAGTGATACAGACTGACAGGTTAAAACCATTCCTGAATTGATCCCGATGTTCACCATTGGGTTCGGCAGCAGTCGCCAGAATTGGCTTCAATAGCTCTGGGCTATAAGAAAGGATCAGCTTTATTTCTCTTCACTGAGTACAGTGATTCCTGCAGCAGTTAAATGTTGGATGATGATCGATTGGGTGATGGTCCCTGTGGAATTTAATCCATGCACCACAACCAAATGGGATCTGAGATCAAGAACCTTCTTCAGAGAACTGTAAAGGTGAGAGGGATCCTTGATACAATCATTTTACCATCCACAATTTGTTGATATTTTTCTCTATATTTTGGGTTTAAATGGGATTATGGAGGATATAATGGCATAGAAATAGGCCATTCTGCCTAATCAGCCCATTGTGGTGTTTATATTCCACTTGAATTCCCTTCCCTCTATCCTCATTTCAATTTACCTACACATTCCTTTTTATTCCTTTCTTTTTCAACTGTTTGTCTTCCTTCCCCTTAATTACACCTACAATATTTGTTTCAACCATTTGCTGTGGTAGCAAGTTTCACGTTATCACCACTCATTGGCTAAAGATGTTTCTTTTGAGTTTGCTGTTGAACTTCTTGGAGACTGTCTTTTTTCGATGGCCCCTCCTCATGCTCTTTCTCTTTCTCACTGTCACCCAGACCATCGCACACTGTACAACATACACCTGGGCCCTCGCACACTGTACATTCTCTTTCTCTCTCTCACTGTCACCCAGACCATCGCACACTGTACAACATACACCTGGGCCCTCGCACACTGTACATTCTCTCTATAGCCATTCTTCCAAAACCTTTGTCAGGTCACCCCAAGCCTATGAGCTCAGCTGCCACTGATGTGAGCAGAGAGGAATTGCCACAGTGACTAATTGATTGAGATGCATTTAGTCTATGTACTTAATAAGAGAAGAAAGCAAAGTATTAGAAATTGCAGAGCAAAACCTCTATAAGCACATGTGGCTAAGGCTATACGATCTACCAGTCATGGCTCAGTGCCCCTTTTTGTAGAGAATTTGCAAATTTGCCTATCTCAGAAGGGAGTAATGTAAAAATAGACTTTGAATGAACAGAACGTCATCATTTACTCCAGTTCCTTATGGGAATGAAGTCTATTGCGCTGGCATTCATCAGCCAGTCTTTGAAGGGTAATGCTTTTTCTGCTTTTGCTTAAAAAATCTTCTGGTGTCCATGGAACTCTGAACCATCTCCTAACCTTTATGAGCATGAATAATCTGCAAAGGATGAGCAGAATCTTCTTGTAAATTAGGGACTTAAAGTCATGGAGCTGTACAGCACAGAAACAGACCCTTCAGTCCAACTCATCCATGCCAACCAGATATCCTAAATTAATCTAGTCCCATTTGCCAGCATTTGGGCCATATCCCTACTAAACCCTTCCTATTCATATACACATCCGGATGCTTTCAAATGTTGTAATTGTACCATCCTCCTCCACTTCCTCTGGCAGCTCATTCTATACATGCACCACCCTCTGCGTGAAAAAGTTGCCCCTTAGGTCCCTTTTAAATCTTTCCCCTCTCACCTTAAACCTATGCCCTCTAGTTTTGGACTAATTTTTCCCATACTGGGGAAAAGACCTTGGCTATGCACCCTATCCATGCCCCTCATGATTTTATAAATGACTATAAGATCACCCCTCAGCCTCTGACACTCCTGGGAAAATAGCCCCAGTCTATTCAGCCTCTCCCTATAGCTCAAACCCTCCAACCCTGGCAACATCCTTGTAAATCTTTTCTACACCCTTTCACGTTTAACCGCATATTTCCTATAGCAGAATTGCACGCAGTATTCTAAAAGTGTCTTTACCAATGTCCTGTACAGCTGTAACATGACCTCCCAACTCCTATACTCAATGATAACAAGGTGTAGAGCTGGAAGAACACAGCAGGCCAAGGAGCATCACAGGAGCAGGAAAGCTGACATTTCGGGCCTAGACCCTTTTGGCTTGTACAAAGTCAAATCTGTACTTGTTTCTCTGATTGTCTCTGTATTCTGTGTTCTCAACATTGAAAACTAGTTGTTTTAATTAGCATCTTTAATGCAGGAAAACATCTTGAAAAGATTCCCTGGAATGTATCCAGACATAAACTGACACCAAGCTAAAGAAGGAGATATTAGTCAATGGGTTAGTAAAAGCTTGAGCGAAGATGTGGGGTGGAATGTTGTTGAGGCGTTGGGGGTCTCGTCTGTGGCTGAAGAGTCACAAGATACATATATTGCCCCTCCCAACAAACCACACACCAATCCGGCAGCAGTGAGGCCACCTGTCGGCTTTCCCTTGGAATTAAGAGTTTCGGCCGTGGGGAAGAGTTTCCGGTCAATCAGAGCCTGGCAGCTCTTCCATTGGAGCCCAATGCCTCTGGCTGGAAGAGCATCCCCACAATCCCAGGATTGGCGAGGATCCAAGAAAAAGCAACATGATGTGTGTGGAGGGGTGATTCTCAGGAGGTTGTGGTCACGAGGGAGAGGTGGGGCTGAGGGCAGGGGTGGCATTGGGAGCTAGGGTGCTCCCACTGGGTCTACTCCTTCCCAATGATTAGTTCTTTGATCAGGGACTGACACTCTTTGATTGAGGGACTTTCCCCAAAGCACCAAGTGATGCAGAGCCCCAAGGTTAGTAGCTCTTGTGAACACTGCACAATGACAGGCCCATTAGCAATTAGGTTACTCACAGTGACGACAGCCTGAGGCCCTGGATTGGTTGCTCAATAGCCATGTAAGGCATTGATTGATAGTGAGTCCGGGACATCACCACAAGCTCTCCCGCCCAGGATTTAATCCAGTGAAGGCAGGGAAAATGGTGAGGTTTGTGTATGCACCCTGTGAAGTGCCTTTCCTGCCTCCAAGATCAGCATCCCTCGGGGAGAAGAGGATTTCACCGTTTTAAAGATAGAGCAGATTGGTGAGAAATGCCAAGGCCCTAGAGAATTGAAGATGCAGCCACCAACTATGTTGTGTAGAGTTTGGGGGATGTGTTAAGATTCCAGAGCAATCCAGGTTTTGGGCAGTTTGTAGGGCTGGAGGAAGTTTACACAGTTGGTAGGGAAGAGTCTTGAATATGACGATGAGAATTTTAATTCTCTCTGGCACTGGACCTAAATCAGGACTCTTCACACATGGAGCCACATAATAACTGTCAGGAGAACATGTTATCAAATGGAATCACTCTGAGTCTGACCCTAGCCTGAACCTTGTCTCACCTCCTCTTTCCAGGAGCAGTCACCTTAGAGTGAGCAGAAGTGGGAGTCCGGCTAACTTTCTCCCTATCTTTGCAGTAACTATCACTCGCTTTTCAACTGACCACAGACCGGAAATGGAACTGGGAGCTTTACAACCTGCATGGCTAGTATACAGCCATCTACCCATTGAACCAGAGGAAACTGAATGAGAATCACTTCAAAATAAACATAGAATCATTGTCAGATTGCAAGCTTCCATGAGGCATCCCAAAATTTTAGATGAATCTACAGTTTCTACCACCCCATTGTCCAAACTCTTGCAACTTTTAGACAGCCAGAAAGTGACAATGCACGCAACAAAATAATCTCCGTTACAGAGATAGTAGGAACTGCAGATGCTGGAGAATCTGAGATAACAAGGTGTAGAGCTGGATGAACACAGCAGGCCAAGCAGCATCAGAGGAGCAGGAAAGCTGACGTTTCGGGCCTAGACCCTTCTTTTCAGAAATGGGGGAGGGGAAGGGGGTTCTGAAATAAATAGGGAGACAGGGGGAGGCAGATAGAAAATAAAATCCATGCAAGTTTCTTCTGTTTATTGTGTTCATAATAAAAAAAATGATTTTCAACTTAATTAGCATCTTTAATGTAGCAAGAGTCTTCACAGGAGTGAAGTTACCTGACTTTAAATTCTAAACGTAGCTGCACGTCATTGTGACACGCCTCCGGGACAACCTTTCAGAAGCTGCTGCATTGGAGTGACTGCTTGTGACTGTGGCACCACTGGGACTTCCTTGAAACTGGGACCTTCCATGAGAGTTCCCAGCTGCTCTGTGAAGTCAGCCACATCCACATTGCTGCTATCTGTTCTGACAGATCTGCGTGGCTCTTCCTTTTTGTTGTGTGGTGAGGTGAAGAGCTTGGCTTGTACCCAGATAACAGAAGGTAATCTGTTGTCTGCCTGTTGAGGCCTGTGTGAGGAGACAGGCATCTCTCTGCTATTTAGTATCAACTCACAGGGATCAGAACAAATCCAGGCACCTACACAAGTGTGCTTTCAACTAGAACTTAGATGTTACTGTCAATAATGTGCACTTTTTTAAAAGTCTACAAATAAGGCTGAACTCAAGTCAAACCCATGAATTTTCCACTTAGATTATTCCTGAAAAATGATGTAGCCCCAAATGGTCACATGCATTTACTTGTTGCACTACTGATCATCCTGGGAGGTAGGGAGAATAAAAGAATTATTTCATTTAGATTATAACAAGATGTCCATCCAAATTGGAATCCAATGGAAGGTTTCTCCCTGCAGTTTAATAGATGAGAGGGAGTCAATCCATGTTCTACAATGCTTCAGTATGTTGGGGGGGCTTGTGCAATTAGTCACTTTCACACTCTGTCAGTAAAACGTTACTCAGAGTTACTCAGCATCATGATCATCTGTATGTTTGATAAGGCCGAATAGAATCATTGCAAAATACAGGATGACACAAAGAAAAAACAACCCAAGATTTTAAGTCTGCTGGTGAGTGTTATAATTATCTAGGAGACTGCGAATGAGGTATGCAATCCATCGTCTAAGACTGTAGCCCTGAACTCACATCTCCACATCACATCCTAAAGCTCAACAGCTAAGACAGGATAGGAAGAATGGCTGTAAAATCCTCCAGGGCAACAGCAGAGTCCTTTACCCAAGGGACTAATCAGATCAACTGCCTCATTGTCTCACTGCAGCATGAATCGGTTAAAGGGAAAAACTCATCGACTTATTTACTGTGACATTATGCCTCACCCTCAGGAAAGTATCCTTTGTCCATCAGTACACTAGACAAGGGGTGGCTGATGCAAGTGTCTGGGAGAGCGGAATACATGGGTAATGCTCTCCTGCTACTTACTTCTAGCAGTGCTGAAGAGGGAGGAATAAAGCTGAAACTTTTCACTTTGCACTCATCAGAACAAACACAAGGATGCCAAATTTCAAACAATCACAACAATTTATACTATAGGAGAAAAAGCTATTGATTCTTTGATAAGTCCTGAGATCCTCTCAGGCTATTTGCTTGTAATGGAATGTGTGTAATTAATGTCATATTTAGATAATGTCACAATCTTGGAATTGAACTGATGGATCTAACAGTGTAAAGTGCTCAATTGTGGAAGATAGTATTTTATTGTATTTTCTGTAATGTTCACTTTGAAATATTTTATACACATATTTGATGAATAGAATATATTTTTGTAAAAATGCATGTCCAGAAGTGAAAATAATTTGATCTGTGCAGTCGTGTGTTATTTGCACTTAATTTTTAGCTAATGCCAAAAATCACATGAAAGTGAATAAAATTTGTGAATGTAGAAATATCACTCTGTCATCCTTTCTCACACACTTTCTCACTCACTAACTCCATCATGTTCTGACAAATTCCTTATAAGTGCGGATTCCTCACACATGCCTCCCACTCGCGCTCACACACTCTGTTCCATGCTCTCTTAAATATTCTGATTCATAAATCTGCATTCACCCACACATTAACACTGTCTCTCACAACCTTCTAGTATCATTTATTCATGTGCCTTTAGGTACCCTAGCACATGAGTTCACAATCTCACATATTTACTTACACACGTCCTAACTTGCACAATTCTCTCCTGCGCACGTTTTCTCTCACACAAACTCTGAGCTGTTGTTCCTCTCCCTTTTTCTGGGGAATTGCATTGTTGAAAATAAATCAACCTGCTTCTGGACTTGCCCTCAAGAATGTTGAATGATGTCATGAAATGTATGGTAAAGGACCAGAAAAGCACCACATTGAAAAGAAAATGGTAATTGATGAGCTCCTCTTGGATTTTAAAATGGTCTGGATTGTAGAATCGAGGAAAGGAACAGTGAAGGATACAAGGAGCAAGAACGGTTTGAGAACCTGGAAAGACATGAGTTAGAGTAACCAAATATCACAAGAGATACTACAGGTAAAGGGGAAGTGGGGAGTTGCTTTGATCAGGACTTATCAAAGAATCAATAGCTTTTTCTCCTATAGTATAAATTGTTGTGATTGTTTGAAATTTGGCATCCTTGTGTTTGTTCTGATGAGTGCAAAGTGAAAAGTTTCAGCTTTATTCCTCCCTCTTCAGCACTGCTAGAAGTAAGTAGCAGGAGAGCATTACCCATGTATTCCTCTCTCCCAGACACTTGCATCACCCACCCCTTGTTAGAAGACACTTGAACAGAGTCACCAATTGTTTGCTAGATCAGGATTGCTGAAGCCTCCATTAATTAGGCTGTGGAAAATCTCCAAGTTGCATCTTGATATCCAAGCACAATTACTTCTAGCAATTGTGGCCAGCAACTGCCAAGATCAAACTTGTGAGAATTGGCCCTCAGTTAACTCCTGCTGGAGCTTGTTGTTACGGGACAGAATTCAATCAAATTCACACCTTTAAGACAGTGCCACTTAAGACTAAGAGATAACAAGGTGTAGAGCTGGATGAACACAGCAGGCCAAGCAGCATCGTAGAAGCAGGAAAGCTGACGTTGATGAAGGGTCTAGGCCCGAAATATCAGCCTTCCTGCTCCTATGATG